GAAATTACAAATGCGTGCTCTTGACGCTCACAACCTACGCCGACCCGGCGGTAAAATAAAAATAAGAAACTAAGAAAAGAATAGTAACAAGTGACTAACTACGAGGCTCTCTAAACGTAACTAACCTCGCCGCGTTCTAAAATACCGCTGATACTTTAGCAAACTTCTGAATATTACGTTGAAAGATTAACAAACTGCCGAGGCAAGCACACAGGCCGAAACGCGTGGTTCTTCAATTTCTAACTAGCCACCTCCACGCTCGTGAAGTAAGAACAGCACACCTCGAACTCGTTTCCTTTCTATTTAACTCAGAATGCTTCCGCTGATAATTTGAATCCTTGCGCGTTCTACTAAAATTTACATACTCTGGCATTGGCAGTTCCAGGGGAAAGTAAGGCTTGACAGGAAAGATAGTTTAAACTTAAAATAAATGGTAGTTAAAATAAATATAAACCCTACAAGGTGATAATCTAAAATATTTTCGGTTTGTGAATAATTTTGGAATGAAGCAAAATGTTATTAAAATAATGCGCCATAAACATTTTGTACACTTCTGTTTTTATGTTCATTGAAAACAGTCTGATGGGTCTAAAGTCGTGAGAAACTAACAGATAAGTTCCTCAAAACCTCAGACATCTTTATTAAAATTAATAATAAGGAAACGGAAAAATAAAAATCTTAATCAAATAATGGTATTTTTCGGATCAGCGGATTCGAATTGGTTTAAGAGAAATGCCAAAATTAGAATGTTATTGATCGAATAACGTCTTCTATTGTACAAAAATCAAGCAAGTTATGTCAGGAAATCGATTCTAACTTCTCAGTAACAACTCATCTCAAACGAAGAGGGGGAATATTTCTGAAAGATTTTATAAAATCCAGTCTCGCGTAAATAATATAAGACGAAGTTTACATAGTATAATAATGAATTCCAAATAATATTTATGATATAATTGTTTAACGAAACATCTCAGAATTTTTTCACACGACACGATACAATTCCTGAGAGTGTTTCCAGCTTATTAATTCAAATTATAATTTCCAAGAAATTTTTTCCCAAGAATGTTTCAAGCTTATTAACCATTGACTTATTATTTTGCCTTATCATTATCACTTTTACTTTCGTTCCCTCTTATCAGGCTACAAATTGGTAATATATATAAGAACAGAATTCTTGAATTAAGTATTTGGCAGTGACTGCTGGCCATGTCACTACTCCTTCCGCACAGCTTCTAAATTTAATTGACTCCGCTTTAGTCTTCGTTAGTTGTGTTTGTTCGCGTGAGTCGAAGGCCTGAGCCAAAACTTATAGGCGCAGTTTGTCTTGTGAATATTCCATATTTTAAAATACTTAAGTTTGAATTCGTGTTTTCTGAATCCCGCAAGCAGTGGAGGTCTTTTGTTACTATACGATTTGTGTACATTTTTTATTTTGAAGAACTAATGAAAATGTTTGTTTTTCGCCTTCTTCAGAGTTAGTGTTATTTAAATGGAAGATTTAGGACTGGGCGTGGAGTTCCCTAACTGCCTACACACAACCAGAATTTGTCTTTTAAACCATAAGGGACGACCAAAAAGTTTCTATTCGAAGGCTGTGCTGTCCCGATTCAGTATGCAGGTCATGCAAAATCGCCTTGAGCGTTTAGGCGATCGTCGTACCGCTTTATCAGATTGAATATACCAGTTAGGTAAAACTTCTTTTTCTGCTGTTCGAAGTCAGATAAGTCAGAAAATGCCTGCTCTTTTAAGAAACTTTTTAAGAGACCAAAGGCGTAAAAATCGATGGGGAGAGATTAGGACTGCAAGAAGGGTGCCCGAGTGTCTCCCACTTTTTTGTGTGCGCCTTCCGCGTTACATTTGCGATATGAGATTTGCGAAGAAGAATCACCCCATTCCGCAGATTTCCCGGACATTTTGCTTTAATCGCCCATCGTAATCTCTCTGGCTTTTCGCAGTACAGTTTCCCAGTGATGGATCCTTGAGAGTAATAAGCAATGGCCCGTGGAAATCAAAGAACAGGGTAAGCATAATTTTTCCAGCAGATGACTGGTTCTTGAACTTCTAAGGAACGAGGGAATGAACTTCCAACCGGTTTGATTTTTGTTCGGACTACAACGCCCACGGCAACCAAGAGGCTACCTAATATGTTTAAGGAGATTGCCTTCTTGCAGCACTTATAGAAGAAAACTGGCTTGTATCTACTTCACATATGGGCAAAACCACGAAAAACTTACACAGCCAGCCCGTTTGTCTGGAATCGAACTCAGGTCAAATAAAAGACGTCTGCTGCCCAAGACTTGTAACTGATAAAAGCTTGTTTAAGGAGCCTGGAAAGCCTCCCATGCGACAGCTATAGTTGTAAGAAAGGATGGTGGTGGTGGTGATCGGTCAAGGAAATTGATGATGGCTGATGATCGATATACCGCCCTGTAAGCGAAAAGAGATCGAAACCAAACAGCGGGCAACATTGCTCAGTAACTGCGTACCGCAACAGACGACAAGAGTACTGGTTTATTGTAGTCAGACGACTTCATACAAGTGGCCTATTTTTCTGGTGCCCTAACGTTGCATACGACTGATAACAAACAGGCTCTCTGGTGTTGAGTATCGGCAGACGGTGCAACGCAACCACTGCAGTTAGGGTAGGTCGTGCCCCTTATTGGCTCATTGGTTTGTTGTTCTACCTCTTGGTCAGATAGTTTTTTTAACCAACGTCATTCTGTCAATAAAGCCTTTTTCTATTCGTTTTGTACTGTATCCGTCCTATTCTTTTTTTGCTACTATATTTTTGTCATCCTTCAAGTACTACATTGTGCCCTTGTAGTATGACTTTCTTGCCTCCCAGTTGATATTTTTCAGAATTGTCGCTAAAATCAGGGAAGTCGTTAAGTTTTGCAGACTAGTGTACTTATGATTACCTTGGCTTCCCTCTATTCAATCTTTTATCTGTTTGATAAAATTAGCAAATTTCTTTAGATAGGGCTTTACCTCGGGAACGAAATTATCATTTCTGACTATATTCCAAAAACCATGGGCCATATTGTCAGTAATAAGTAGCTCTTATCTAAATATGAGATATGCAAATGTCTGAGAGGTAGAGTCATATTTTGCTACGTTAAGGGAAATCTGATAGTTGGTAGCTTCTCGTTCAAGAAAATACTATGATTGTTTTCCAACTGAGATGGTGAGACGAGGTTTAAGGTCTTTGTTCTTCCTTTCCACGTAGTTTGTCTGTGGAAGGTAAACTTAATTTTCCGAGGAAACAGACTTGTTGTATTGTAGTACGAACAAATTCTGGTTCATTGTTAATAACGACACATCTAGGTAGACTACATCGCAAAAAAAGTTTCTTGTACAGCAGTAGTCTTCAAACTTTGTCGAAACCCTTAGAATTATAAGTTTTTTTTTGGGGGGGGGACCTATTCCATACTTAAAAAATGTATCTTAATTAATATTTAAAGTAGATCAATATTAGAGGTACATTATATAAAGACAATTAAAGAAAATTATTTTATTTTTTACTAAAAACTACAGCGGGAAGGTTACTACCCATATTATGCGAAGGAGTCGGTTCTTCCCCTGATTGCATCAACGTGATCAGAGATTTATATTTATAAAATTTGTGAAAAATGCACGTTTGAGTGCTGTAAAGATTTCTATAGAATCTATTGAAGAATTTTCTACTTTAATTTCACCTGAAACTGTTTGACGAATACTCAGATCATCTAGATTACATGGGTGATCTACTCGAAGAAATTTTTTGAAGTGTAAAAAATAGAAAGCTTATTCTTTCCTTCTCAAAATCTATGGTAAATAAGCCTGAAGCTCATTGGAATTATGTCTTATTTACAGATGAAAACAAATTTAATATTTTTGGTTCCGAAGGGCACATAATTATACGGAGATGAAAAAAATGAGGAACTTAATCCCAAGAACTTGGTTGTAAACAGTAAAGCAAGGCACTGGAGGTGTATTTGTGTGGGTGTGCATGTCTGCATCAAGATTAGGTAATTTAGTATTTATTGATAGCGTAGTAAACCATGCTCTTTATTTAAATATTTCCAAAAGATAATTTAAATTTATCATCTCAAAATTTGAGTATGGGGAAACAGCTTTATTTTTTATCAGGATAGCGATTCTAAGCACACGGCCCTGAACGTTCGCCTTTGGTATGTCTATAATTGTCCACAAGTTCTGAAAACACCACCTCAGTCACTAGTTTAAAACTAGACAGAAAGCATCTAGAGAGAATAAGAGGTTAGTAGGAAGACACAACGCAAAAGCGAAAACCGAACTAAAAACAGGAATAATGGAAGAATTAAAAAAAAAAAAAAAAAGGAGAAACATTACTCATATAATACCAAACAAAAAGTGAACTCTATATCCATACGTTTAAAAGCTGTCATAAATGCTGCAGGATACCCTACAGTATAATACTAACTACAGAAATACTACAATATTTACTAATATGTACAGATTTTTTAAAGTGTACGAAGACTTTTGTGAGGTAGTTTTTCTGTCACCTTTTGATTACTGATTAATTTTTTTTTTTTTTTTTTTTTTTGCTATGTTCATAAAATAAAAATGTACTTTTGCTAAGAGAAATTTATAGATATTATTTAAAAATTTTCTTTTTCAATTATGAATTTTTATTAATGAATAAATCAATATGTCACTGAAACTCGTAAGTACGAACACTTTTGGGAGCCACTGTATTTGTTTTCGGTTTTCCGAAACAATTTGGATGCCTTAAACCGATATACTCGTAATTCCTTTGTATTTACAAATATTGCTTACATTATGAAATAAGTAGCAAATAAATAATTTTGCAAATGTTTTTCGATTAGTATAGGTAAGAAGCTTTTAATACCATTACTTTCTGTGCGTCGGTAAAACAATTCTTAGCTCATTTCAAAAAATTTATTGCATAAATTAAACTTCTGGAAGAAAGAAACTTGTCTAATTCTACATATTTAAATTATATGATTATTTTTTTTCAGAAATTATTATTTCAGATTGCTTCGAATCGCCATCATCCTGTTTCTTAGTTACCAGTAAGAAGCAGCATCATACCAATCATAATGACAAAATGAAAAAGAAAAACTGGAAACAACTCTGTCGAAGGAAAGGAAACTCAACTTGCTCCATTGCTCTCACAGAATCACAACATTGTAGTGATCTAATGACAACACACCAGTCCATAAACTCAGTCGACAGTTTTCATTCTAGTGATCAGCTACCATCTTGTAATTATGTTCTTCGAAGCCAAAATTGCTTGATAAATTATAATCATTTTCCGATGGACAACAGCAGAGGTATTTCTTATTATCTTAAAAAATTAATATTTCATGCTTTTATTTTGGATTACAGAGGTTGTTCGCACATTTTTCAGACGATTTTCATTGTAATTACATTGTAATTACACATTCATTGTAATTTCATTGTAATTTCACTGTAATTACAGAAATGCTTTACCTAAAACTTTTAAATGTTTTGTTTGATATCCCTTATTCTTCATTATCTTTATACACCATAATATCCATGATAATGAAGCCTTTTGTAGTATCGAAAGAGGTACTTTATCCCATTCCTCTTGGACAACTTTCCAAAGGAAGGTTGAAGGTCGACGTTTGGACAATCTTCTTTTTAAATGTCCAAAAGCGCCAGGAAACTAACAGTAGATTTTGACCTGTCGCTGCTTTTTTTTTCCTTTATGCAGTTCTACTGACTGATCATATTGTGTGTAAAGAGAAGGTATTTCATATTTGAAAATTTGGCATAAAATATCGTCGTTTTCGAACCATTATTTGCTATGCGCACGTTTTGGAGATCTCGATATTTTGGCTATTATGACTAGTTTACTAACCAAATTACCGCATAAAAAGACTGTTATGTGACTCTAAGCATTATGCTAAAAAATGCTTAACTGTGGTCGCTTAAAAAATATACTATAAGCTTCAACCAGAATATTGTCAAATTAAAACTGCTATGCGACAGACTTGACCATAGCAGATATTGGTTTGACAACGATGATATGTTTTTGATAATATGTGGAATGAGCTTAACATTTTCCTCCAGTCTCTTTATTTTTAATTTGCCTTTACATGAAAAACCAGCAGCAGTCATAAATCTCTCAGAAAAACTTTCTTTAGATACCGCCTTCAACCATGTATTACGACTTTTTCTCCACATTGGTGATCATAAATAATGAATCGCTTTTTATTTCAGTTATTTAAGTACACCCAAGATTCATCTATTGTGACAACACTTTTCTATTTTTGTCCGGATAAATGTTTCTCCTAAAGAATTCTGCAGCGCGTTCTGTATTCGGCAATATGTTGTAGAGAAAGACGATGCAGATTAAGTTGTTTCATATTTTTAAGATTCACATCAACATTAATGACTTTCGAGTGACAGTTGGCACTAAGCATTTTAATGATTCTGCAACTGGCCTTTGACTTGGCGGATTTTCTTTTAACGTTGAATATCTTACTTTTGCAACTTTCGAAAAATTCCGTTTTTTTCCCTTGAACACATATTTGAAAGAATTTTTCTACCGAAGCTAAATTTTGAACTTTTTTTCCACTTTGTTGTTGACAGCATTACCTATCGTATAGCTTTCATAATATTTTTTAATAACTCGATAATATTATCCGGAAAGAACACAAGCATGGTCTTCTATCCACTGCTTTTTTAAAAGCGACATTTCGCATGAAAACAAAATTTTCAAGTAGCAAACGATAATTTATGCTTTCAAAAATATTGCTTCAATTAAAAAAAAATTCCAAGCAGAATATTTTTTTACAACAAAGCAAAATCGTCTAAACAATGTGAAAACAGCCTCTTTGTTTTAAATGTTAACTACAGCGGGCTTTACTAGTGTATAGTAAAATAGTTAAAATTTATTTAAGATTAGAATTTTAAAACTCCCACAAAAAAGGAAGGGATTTAAAAAAAAAAAAAAGAAAAAAAAAAAAAAAAGAAAAAAAAAAAAAAAAAAAAAAAAAAAAAAAGAAACCATAATGAAAATAAATTAACTATATTTTGTACTTTTTACATATAATTATGCATATAAATTAAAAATATGAATACACGTTTCATCGTATAGTGATTGGTAGGACGAGAAATAATGTCTACGATAGTCGCCAGTAGTCTCCGCTCTCCGTTACCTGTTTATGGGATCGCATTTAATAATAAATGCAATCAACTCATAAACAAATCAGATGCGTGCAGTAGTAAACTTTAAACACCCTTCTTCAATAACATAAATTATATCATCTCCTCAAAGAAAACCGTCAAATTAAAATTTCGCTTGGATGGGTGAAAGGACACGCAGGGACTGACGGAAACGAACACTCCGACTCCCTTGCTAAAGATACGCTTTATTCTATACGCTCAAATTACGTACTAGACATTTCTCAAGAGCCTGCAACGCATGAAATGCCGAGAGAAACCAGCTCCATCGCTTCCTAAAAGTTAAGCAGGCGAGAATACATTCGACATAATTAGGAATGTAGTGGTTTGATTGATTCAAAATTTCATGTGAAGATTGGCAGTTCAGTTATATATTCAAGGGTCCAAAACATTACAGTAAACAAAATAAATTTAGCAATATTTATAATCATTTATGTATGTACATCACACTCGCCTAAACAATATTATGTCAAGAGAATGCTATCTGAAAGTATGCCCAATCACAAGTGTGGATTTTTCTCTATGCGGTACGGAATGTTTATATGCTGCTGTGCTGCCCACGGGGTACTGGTAGGAACATTATGACGACGAGTCAAATCTTCAGGCTTATAGAGCCTCGCCCCATCGTGGTCTTTGGTCGCCGGGGCCTCAGTCGAACAGTTCAACCATGGGTTTGAGAGGTGGGACGGATAGCAATAAAGTGAATTTCATATACTCTCGTTGATGGCGAGATTTTTATGACAGATCCACCTCCTGCCTAATACGAAGGTTATAAGTTGGGGTACGGCTTGGTTGTATGTCCATCTGAGTTCCTGGTACCATCGGTTAACAAAACTAGTTAAGTATTAGTTATTAAACAGTAAATTTAGCCTTACAGTTCTTATTGCTATACCTTAATTTACAATTTTGATAAAGTAGAAAAAGCATAGAAAACTCTGATTTACAGGAATATATGTATTTTTCTTTTCTTTAGATTCTCAGCAAAGAATCCCTGAAAACAGAGCTTCAAGTGACCCTGAATGTCTGAGCCCTGCTGAAACAGCAACTGAAAAAAACAGAGGAAACTGTTTCGTAAACTCAGATGAAATTTCAACTTATTCTGAATTACTGCAGGAAAAAGAATTTAATTCGGCTTTCATTTCTTGCACTCAAAATACTTTTCACTCATGGAATTATGATAGAGGCTGTGCGGTTAAATATTGTGGTGAATATATATTTGATTAAACAAATTACTTTACATTTGTAGCATCTTCATATCGGTATGCAGCATTTAATTTAAATTTTATTATAAGCATTATATTTAGACTTATCGCGTATTCATTTTCAGCAAGCGTTGCGCTTTTTGTTTGTAATGTACAAGTATATTTGTCGTCACCTGTTTCAGTATTATGAAAGTAAATAACTCCCTCCTCCAAAGGAGTGGTGTCAATATTACTGATTATGGATGCATTATATTATTATACAGTGTGATCATAAAATAACTTCCCCGATATACAGGATGTCTGTAATTAAAGAACCCTATTTCCAAGTTGACTATAAGTGAAACCAGTGATAAAAAAAGCTGTGAAATTTTGTGGCGGACTTAATGAAGGGATGAAAATGTCTTTCGGAGAAAAACAAAATATTTACAAATAGCGTCACCAGAGGGCATTTTATTTCGAAAACCTGTAATGGAAATATAGCTCTTTGTCGACGTCATGCAGCAGCTGTTATAAAACCTAGAAACATTCGCGGGGACTTCATTTTTGAAATTTTTCATCGTTTACCGACGTATGCATGTTCATTTCATTTCATGACTTTGTCAGCCGAACTCTTCGCCTTCGAGTGATGGGGCAGAGTGAGTACCTTACTTTACATCACCATAATTGGCCCTAGGACATAAACCAAAGATACTGGTTAAACCTCTATGCAGATGTATACCAGCGGTAAATAAATAATCTGTGATACATAGGTACTTTGATTTTAATGTGCTTGTTGCTCACAATGACGATAAGTTTACGAGATCGCTCTTTGTTAGTAAAACTGTTTTACCAAAACAGCCGGCACTTTCGTAATGTGTAGCCTTCTCGATCTCCAGACCACAGTCCATGCGAATTTTGGATTTGGGGACATTTGAAACATCTGATAAGTCGTGGAAATCCAAGAACTTTACTTGATCTTTAAGCCAGCCTTACACGCCACGTGCTGAACATTTCCCAGCATACACTGTGGAACTGTGTGATCAACTGGGGAACAGGCCATCTTACGATTTCAGATGGTAGCTGAAAATGATGCCATCATTTGAAACATGTTTTTTGTAACAAAATGTATAAAATTTTAAAACTATTGTAAAGGTATGGCTAAATGTATAATTTATTAATATGATGCCCGCTGGTGACGTTATTTGTAACTTTTTTTTTTTTTTTTTTTTTTTTTTTTTTTTTTTTTTGGGCTGAAAGCTATTCTTATCCTTTCATTAAGTCCGCCACAAAAATTTCACAATTTTCTGATCAATGGATTCGCTTGTAGTAGGGTAGTAGTAGTATATCTTTAATTATAAGTAGGTTTCTTTAATTATAAGACACCTTGTATAAACCACCAGCGGCCTATCTACTAAAACAATTAAAATGAGATGTTATTTTATGCGCTCGAGATTGCGATGCAGACAGACAGACAAAGTAGATAGATGTCTTGTTTTGCACCCGCTAAGTCTTTCTGCACCGATGGGCAAAAAATCAAGCTTAGGTGCGAAGATTTAAAACAATAGAATTGTCAAGGTTACGGTTACAGTGAAAAAAGTTCGAAATTTTAGAACGACAACACCCACCTTTTTTTCCTGTGCAAACTGATCAGCGCACTGAAAACCATAAATGGCGTTAGAACGATATACGCATGAAAAAAATTCCCGGCTTTGAACATTTGCAAAGAAGAGCATTATAAAGGACCAACGATAGCGCAAGAAAGGAGAAGGAAAAATCTCCTATTGGAATTACAAATTTTCAACATGCTTCTTCGCAGACGATAACGCATTGCATGCGGGAGATTGTTGACAACAATGACAAACGTATATCTCAGTAGGAATAAGTATAGCTTTATATTTTATAGCATCTTTCAGTTTTGACAAATCTCGTGGATTTGATGCTTACACCTTAGATTTTAGACAACCCCAGAATTAGAAATTAATCAAAGTGAGGTCGGGGATGACGATGGCCACGAAACTGCAAAACCATGGAATGATTCTTCCTCCAAAATGCTGTTGCAGCACTTACCGAACAAATGTAGCAATATATGGAGGAGTGCTATCTTGAATCTATACAATGTCATTGACGACAATTCTGAAATTAATTTTGAGGAACTACTCTTATATGCGCCCTCAGGTCACCAACTCCACGTTGCCATATTACTATCTAATTTTTTTGTCTACTACATTTCGAACTTTAAACCTAAAATGTTTCCAAAAACGCGATTTTCGCGCATGCAAAAACCATGTTTTGTACATACAATTTAAACTAAAAATCCGAAACAAAAACAAAAAATTTAGATAGCAAAAACGTAAAGTTTCTAACCAAAAATATTTAAGAAGAATCCATCTACACAACGATATATTTTAACTTAAAAAAACATCTACGAATTGCACAATCTATGCAACGAACGAATCTACGAACTAAGCACACTTCGCTTGAATAAATTAACATAAGAACAATAAATTTCAAAGAATACCATGTACAGAGCATCCTGTTTAAACTTAAAAAACATCTACAAATTGCACAATCTAGACATTGCGCACAAATCAACCAAATAAACTAAACTAAATTACAAAAAATTCAAAAAACAACAATAACAACAAAATTCATAGTAAAAAACATAACATTCTACAAAATAAAAGCAGTAAAATAAAATGCACTTACCATAATACATTCCTGAATAAAATTTCGCCAGTCACACAAAGTCTCTGAACAAAAGTGCCACGATTTTGCTATATCACATATCTTTCTGAGATTCAAAATTTCGAAAGTAACGATAAAATCTTCCTCCAAAGTTAACTTACTACACCAAAACTACAACGCAAATTTTAAACTCCGCTGAACCATTTGACTGCAAATCCACACAAGAACTATCAGAAACACCCTTCTTCGTCCGAATTCTCATAGCAGCTCCTCATTTCAGATTCCGTTTTAAAAGTCATATAGAAATTCCCAAAACACTTCAATCCTCATAAACACACTCAACAAAAGACTCGTTAACAACTCCAACATTGTACCTTTTAATACTAAATTTACTTTCCACACAATCTAAAATACGCGACTGAAATCTTCCCAGCACGTCCATCATTGTAACATAGGCCATTTCAAAACACGCACGACACGAACCAACGAGCAATTAAACCGTTCCAGGAAAAGATTTTTTAACGTCAACAGGGTTGCCATACAACACATAATCACGCCCAAAACAGCGCAGAACACACATCGCCACATTTGGTGAAATTAGGGCGCATATAAGAGTAGAGCCAATTTTGCAACATTGTTGTAAACCGAGTACTTGCGATGGAGCACATTTTCATACCTGTGGAAGCGACCTCTTCGAAGTACGGAACGAGAATGAATGTGCTTGCAATGCTGCACCACACTTTAGCTTCGTGTAAAGGCGCTAGTGCGACATCTTGAGGATTTTCCTCAGCCCAATGTAGCTTCTACTGTCTATCCTGTGAATTATGCCAAGTGCCTCAATGCATTTCGTCTTTGCAATTATGCATTTCGTCTTTGCATTTCGTCTTTGCTCGTTAGTCTTTACAAGCTCTCTGTAAATGTTTTAATCCGGCAAGTTTCGTCATACATGTATCATCCAACTCCATTTATGGTTTTCAATACGCTGATCAATTTGCGCAGAAAAAAGTGGGTGTTGCCGTTCAAAAATTTCAAAATGTTTTCATTTCACTGTAGCCGTCACCTTGACAGCTCTATTGTTTTAAATCATGACAATGTTGATCTCAAGCCTCTGCAGTGTTCCTCCCTTTTATTCTAAGTGTTGAGGAACTTAGTGAACTACTAAATGAATAATCGTTTAAATCCGAGAGCAGAAATGTAAACTCAAGAAGGATTAATTACCCTTTATTTGCTCAAAATAAAAATATACATTCGGCCCCTTTCACTTCTCGTACAACAACAAAGCCTCCACTTGAGCTTAATTTAAAATGTAACTAATAAGAACTATCTAATAACTAACTAAAGAGATTTAGCCAAAGCTAACAAAAATTCTACCCGAGTTGGTGCGTAATATTAAAATAGCCAGCGAAGCTATCAAAAGACACGTAATACGACCGAGCATAGTAACAGTTAGAGAGACGTAACCAAAAGGCAAACTATTCAGGAATCCTAACTCTGTCTCTCGAAGTCGGTGGAGCCCACCAGCGGCCGAGCGGTAAAGACGCTGAACACTGGTAGTTCGGTTCGAGGTTCGAATCCCGCGAACAGGCTGGCAGCATGGGCGTTTTCGTGGTTTTCCCCATGTGTAACGTGTATATGAGCCAGTTTCCCTTAGAAAGTCCTCCACGAAGGCATCCCTCCCCTTCAGGCAGATAGCCTTCGTGTGCTTTGCCATAATTGAATAATCCAATTGAAGTCGGTGGAACTTTGACTTAAATACTTTCTACTTCTCATTTGCGTTTAATGCCATTCTAAAATCTCATTGTGATAAGGAATTGTAAGCTGAAGCTAGAATGGATAGAAAGGTTCATAAACTTAACTGTTATAAAATTAGGATATACCTTACATCTTTCCTCACCAGAATTTAAGTACTGGAAGAAAAAGCTCTAACTACTAATTTAAATTCTACAAAACTTCCTAACAGTTCAAAGTTTAGCTTCTAATACATTTGAATTCTTAATTCAGTCTCATTATTGAAATCGAAGTTTTAACTTCCTTTTAGGGCCAATTTTACAAATGATCTAACCCTAAGTTAAAACTAAGATAAATAAAATCTTTTTTACAAAAGTTGTTGCTCTTCTTTTGTTATATATATCTTTCGGATCTTAAGAGCATCATGATACATACTCTGATCCTTCTAAAATATCTGGAAGGAAAAAGGATTAGTACTGTGTTTCTAGGAAAAATTTCCAATTTACATTTATTTGGTCGTCAAACAGATTTCATTCCCTCACATTTTAACTCCTTTCCTCCCACGCTCTCCAGAAATTTGTTCTGTTATGAAATGAGCGTGTCAGTGTTA